GCAAAGGAGACAGGGAAAGGGGAACCGTCCCTGACCAAGCTCCCAACTGACAGGGTCACAGTGGGTGGCATGCTTACTGCTGCCTGGGTGTCCCCCATTCCTGGCTTCTGCCACCTGCCGGTCAGGGAAGGGTCCGATGCCAGTGGCCCACAGAAGCTCCAGGAGGAGAAACCTCAAGATCAACACCGCTCCCTGCTCCCATGCCAGCAGAGGACTCCGGGGCAGAGCCAGCCAAGCAGGAGGTGCAGTGACTCCAAAAGGGCCGGTCCTTCTGACAGAAGCTACTCTACTAGGTCAGGAGCCTGCAACCTGGGTCAGAAGCTCCCTCTCCACACACATTCAAGATTCCAGGCTTCTTGGGGAGAGATCAACCAAAGGACTTGTATGCATGCATGTAAGCCTAGTCAATGGACAGAGACAACAGGGGGGTGGGGGCATGAATGGGAGGTAGGGGGCAATGGGGGAATAAGGACACATATGTAATACCTTAATCAATAAAGAAATTAAAAAAAAAAAAGATTCAGGCTTTCACATGGCAGTGGCTCCTTCCCCCGAATCTCTAGCCAGGACTGCAGGCAGGACACACGCGGCCCTGCAGGCAAGTGAGAGGTCATGGCCGACTCCCTCCTGCTGTAAATCACCAGGAACTCTGCGCTGGGACAGGTGCCCTGTCCCTTGCCACGGGCAGCTGGGATGACGCAGTTCCCGGGAACTGGCCCGTGGCCACCCCGTGGGAATGCGATCAGGCCCCCAGGACGGACGTCACTGACCCAACCTCCTGACCCACGTCCCACCGCGAGGGCTGCCGCCCGGGCAGGAACACGGCTCAGCCGAAGTCAGAGTGACCAGGAAGGAGGGAGGCGGGACGGAGCGGCATGGGTCCCAGAACGAGAAGAGGGCCATGACGGGGGGACGTCTGAAAGGGCCCCCAGTGACTGAGAACAAGAGCCTCCCTGTTGCCCAGGGCAGGAGAGGCGGGAACGAACTGCTCAGATGAGCTCCAAATCTCCCTGCAGCCCCCGGCCCAGCGCTTCCCGGCCTGCTCCCCACCACGTGTCCGAGTGCAGGGCAGGCTTTGCAACAAAGAGCCTCCTACGTGCCAAGCCCAGGCACAGCCAGACCAGGCAGACACAGGTTCAAACCCTTGCTCCTCTCCTCATGGGGTCTGTGATATGGGCGCGTTCCTTTAGCTCCCAAGGCTGTTACTACCCCCTCCTGCCCTTCCCTTCCCCTCCCCCCTCCCCCAGTATGATGGCAGCAATGCCACCTTACCCTGCTGCTGTGAGGGCTAGATGAGATAATGTGCACAAGGGACCTACTACTGCTGACCTGGGCACCTAGTAGGTCCTCAATAAATGAGGATGTGGGGAGCTCCTTAAATAACTCAACTTCTCTAAACCTGAGTTTCCTCAACTTCACAAACACAATGTGAGCCCCACGTGCCAGAGCCCTCTGGGGCCGCTTTGCAGCTTCTCAGCCCGGGCTGGAGGCCGGGCCAGGCTGCCAGGTGCTCCCGAGTATGGCTGTCACATCCTTCCTTCCCCGGCTGGTCCCCCAGCCCTGAGGCTCCCTTCCCACAGCCCTGGCTACCTGCATGTGGACCTTGATCTCTCCCTCCCATCTCAGCTCTCGGTACTTTGTACCCAGACTCTCTCCTGTGCTTTGGGGCTCAGGCATGCTGCTCTTCCCCAGGCTTTACACACACACACACACACACACACACACACACACACACTGCTACTCTTCAGATTTGCAATGCATGTCTCACAACACCAACCAGTTAAAAATAACACGAGTTGCCCCAATATCCACTTAAAGATGAACTAGTAAACAAAATGTGGCCCACCCTGACCAGGTTAGCTCAATGGATAGAGTGTCATCCTGCGGACTGAAAGGTCCCAGGTTCAATTCCAGTCAAGGGCCTGTACATTGGTTGCGGGCACATCCCCAGTAGGAGGTGTACAAGAGGCAGCTGATCGATGTTTCTCTCTCATCCATGTTTCTAGCTCTCAATTCCTCTCCCTTCCTCTCTGTAAAAAATCAATAAAATATATTTTTTTTAAATGTGGCCCATATACACAGTGGAATATTACTCAGCCTGAAGACATGTGCTACAAGGTGGGTAAACCCTGAGGACATGATGCTAAGTGAAATGAGCCAGTCGTAAAAAGACAAGCAGTGCAGGATCACACTTCTACGGGTGCCCTGAGCAGTCAGGCCCACAGAGATGGAAAGCAGAATGGTGGCTGCCAAGGGCTGAGGGACAGGAGAAATGGTTAAGTTACTATCTCATGAGTCCGGAGTGTCAGTTTGGGAAAATGAAAGGCTCTGGAGATGGATGGCGGTGAGGGTTACATGGCAATAAGAATGTCCTTCGTGCCACTGAGCTGTACGCTGAGAAAGGGTACATCTTACATACAGTTCGCCACAATCTTTTATAAAGGAAAATGATGACAAGGGTGGGGACTGGCAGGGATGAAATGCAAGCCCGGGGCCACTGTTCGACCAGAGAGAACCCAGGGGGCAAAATAAGCAAGAAACACTCTGCTGCTCAGGTTTCCCCGAGTCCCCGGGCTCCAGCCCCCTCGTCACCATGTCCCCGGCCACACACTGAAGGCCAGATGGGCTGGCGGATACGTCAAAGCCACCTTAGAAACAAGCTCCGGCTCAAGGAAAAAACCCTCAAATAAATCAAAGCCAGCTCCCTGCCCCCAGCTGCGCCCAGAAAGAACACACAGATATCTCCTACATCCCCCTGGCAGGCGTTAGCCTGGGTTTTCCACAGGTTGGGCCTGACTCATTAGCAGGAAAAGGAGTTGACACCAGGAACAATAATGCCAACGCACATTTGGATGGACAGACAGAACTTCCACAGATCGGACAATGACAAATCTTTGTCAACTCGTTACAGAAGCCAAGCTGAGGGAGAAGTTTCTCCCTTTGTCCAGTCTCCATTGTTCCGCTGAGCCTCTGGCGGGATGGACACGGTCATCCCAGACATATAATAAAACCTTCCTGCAGTATAATCTTTATATATATTAAAAAAAAAAAAAAAAAAAAAAAAAAAAGCCGAAACCGGTTTGGCTCAGTGAATAGAGCATCGGCCTGCAGACTGAAAGGTCCCAGGTTCGATTCCAGTCAAGGGCATGTACATGTACCTTGGTTGTGGGCACATCCCCAGGGGGAGATGTGCAAGAGGCAGCTGATCGATGATTCTCTCTCATTGATGTTTCTAACTCTCTATTTCTATAACTCTCCCTTCCTCTCTACTAAAAAAAAACAAACAAAAAACCCAAGAGCGATACATCAACTGTCAACAGAAGGTATGGGGGCTTATTTTTCTTCTTTTTGTCTATTTTCGATATTTCCTACCACTTTTTTTTTTTTAACGTTTCTTTATTGATTTCAGAGAGAAAGGGAGAAGGAGAGAGAGAGAAACATCAGTATTGAGAGAGAATAACTGGTTGGCCGCCTCCTGCATGCCCCCTACTGGGGATCGAGCCCGCTATCCAGGCATGTGCCCTTGGCTGGAATCGAACCAGGGACCCTTCAATCCGCAGGCCGACACTATCTACTGAGCTAAGCCGGTTAGGGCTCCTACCACATTTTTTTTTTTTTTTAAATGAAGCCAAAAGCTAAGCTCAGCAGGGATTCCATGGCCAAACTCTCTCTCATTAAGTCCTAAGGACGACCTCCTGAGAGCTGAGGCTGGTCCATGACCACAGAGTCCCATGGACCAGGATGCGGAGGCCACACGCTTGAAGGGGATGCTCTGAAGGCCTCTGAGCATCCACCCCTGCTCGGCACCCAGAGGGGTCTGTGCACAGAGAAAGGAAGGGGGAGGAGGAAGACCAGAGCAAGAAAACAGGAAGTTCCACTTGGCAGCCTCCGGCGGTGGGCCCCACCCCTTCACCCTCAGGAAGGTCGCCCTGGTGCACAGACAGACAGCCACCAGGCACAGGCCCAGACGGCCCCCGCCAGCGGAGATGAGATGTGACATCCGCCCCCGCCTCGGCCTTGGAGCATCCTTCCAGCTCCTCAGCTGCAGGCCAGCAAGGTCCCCTGGGGCTGAGGGGCAGGGGTCACTTGGAGACCTCTCCGCCCTTCTTCCTGCCCCACCTGCAGAGAGGCAGGACTGGAAGGGGAGGGAGGGTGTGCAGGCTCCTGGCGTTCATCTTGAGCTCGGCCAGCGGACAGTGAGTCAGTCCCAGGCCCCCGGGGGCCGGCTGTTATGTGATTAGACCTGATGACTCAGCGCCTTGTCCACGGGACTCAGTGATGGTCATCATCATTTATGCTCACAAGGGCTCAGAGGAAGGAGCAGCAGGCAGGGACCAGTGTCAGGGATCTTCTCCTTCCCCGTCCACATGCCTGGCCATCGGGGGCCGAACTGTGGCACAGGCACACCCCGCATCTCAGCGGCAGCCATCCCAGGGAGACACACACTGAAAGCAGAACCAGCTTCCCTGCGGCCCCAGCAAGCGCCTGACCGCAGCTGCCCTCTGCTGCCCCTTTCCTGGTCTTGGTGCCTCAGCTGCCTGTTGGCTCTCAGGACAAAGAACCAGTATTTCAAGAGAGGCGAATGGCTAATTGCTCCTACACCGGGAGAAGGAGAGGGACGGAGTCTTAGCCTGCTGCCCACAGGCAGTCATTAGGAGAGGGCAGAGCAGGGGCCTGATGTTCTGGAGACATCCTCTCCTCCGCCTGAGCTGGGACGTGGGCCTGGGCACCATGTCTGGGGGCAAAGCGGTGCCCACAGGGCCATCCAAGCATCAGCACCCACCCTCTGAGAAGAGCACCCAGAGCCGGATGCAGGCAGTCTGTGGGGAGGGGGGGTGAGAAGAGCTGACTCCAAATGCAGCCGATGACAAAGCCATGCTGTTCCCCATCACACCGAACTCGCACCTCTAACTTGCAGGGGACACGGAAGTCAGAAGGCGCACCCAGCAGCAGCTGGCATGGTGGGCAGAGGCCGGGAGAGGACCCCGGGGCTATCTTACCTGCCGGGCCACCCTCCGCGCCTCCCAGTAGGGCTTGGAGTCTTCCACGGCTTTGCCGATCTTCTTCAGCAGCTCGTCCAGTTTCACCGTGGCTTCCACCAGCACAGAGCGGAACTTCTGCCGAGCATCCTGCAGCCAGGGGAGATGCAGGAAGCACAGCTCAGGCTTAAGAAGGAATCTGGGAAAATCTGCCTGACCTCACCACAAACACCAAGGATGGGCCTCACTCAACCTACAGGCACCCAAAACCTTCACAGGACAGTGTCTACAGCAGCACCATCTGAAAGGACTTTCTGTGTTGTCGGAAGTGTTCTCGCATCGGCACTGTCTGGTGCGGCAGCCAACGGCCACACGTGAACACTGAGCACTTGAAATTGGCTGGTGAGCCCTGGCTGCGTAGCTCGGTTGGTTAGTGTCATCCTGATACACCAAGGTTGTGGGTTCGATCCCCAACAGGACACATACAATAACCAACCAATGAATGCATAAATAAGTAGAACAGTTCAATGTCTCTAAGTAATAAAAAAATAAATTTAAAAAGAAAAATTTTATATTTAAAAATAATAATTGGCTGGTGAGACTGAGGAAATACATTTTATTTAATCTTAATTAAATATAATTTATTTATTTATTTATTTATTTATTTATTTATTTTAGAGAGAGGAAAGGAAAGGAGGAAAAAGAGAGAGAGAAAAACATCAATCAGTTGAACCCGTAACCAGGGCATGTGCCCTGACCCCAGGAATCAAACTAGTGACCTGCTGGTGCATGGGATAATGCCCAGCCAACCGAGAGAGCCACACCGGCCAGAGCTATATTTAAATTTTTAAAATACATGTGGCTAATGACTACTATATTAGACAGCACAGGCTAGATGAAAAAGCTCTGTCTAAATCCTCAAGGGAAGATGTCCAGTCGGCCGCCCCAGCAGCTTAGCCCATAATGATGGCACCATTTCCTGCCCTTCCATGGAGTCCTCAATCATATGCTGTGGTCAAGATGAAACACTAAGAGCAAACTGCCCACACGGCAGATCCTGTGCTGGGCCTTGGGCTTGGTCCCTGCCTTCAGGCCACTTCCAACCTGGTGGGTAAGTCAGGCATTTACAGCCCAGTCCAGAAGTCGGTGCCAGGATGGAGGTGGTATGGGTACCATGGAAACCAGCAGTGGAGACCCTCACTAGTCCAGTAAGACAGAACCCTCCCCGGAGTGGGGATATCTGCACAGACGCCTAAAGCATGAATGGGCACGGGGGAGGGGAGAGGAAATGCCGAGTCCCAGGCAGGCAGCAGAGCCCTCAGCCAGAGGGGAGAGAAAGAAAGGGAAGGAAGCTGAAGTCTGGAATGTGGAGAATGGCAAGAGATAGTGGCTGCCTCCGGGATGGGTGGCCACCCTATCAGGGTGGTGAGGCCTGGGGCAGGAACCAGGTGGAGGGGGCAATGTTGAGAGTATGACAATGACATCTGTAATTCTCACAACAATAAAGATTTAAAAAATAAAGATAAGAGCCGGGCCTTGATAAGAGTTTGGGAGAAACAGGCAGGTGGGCCACGCCAGGCCTAACCACAGGGTAAAAGTTGAGAAACAAGACCCGTGGACATCGCCGGAGGGCAAATTTTTTTAAAAAAAGAAATTTAGTCCTGTGTCTGGGTCACACTGGAGGTCAGGTCAGTATCTCACAGACCCCAGATCCCTCTCTTCCTTTTCCCTTAGGCATTTGCCTGATGCGGCCACACCTTGGGTGTGGGGGGGAGGGGGGCGTATGTGTGTGTAGGTGGGTGGTATGTGAGGGTGTGGGGGGGGTATGTATGTGTGTGGGTGTGGGTGGGTATGTGAGGGTGTGGAGGATGTGTGTGTGTGAGTGTGTGTACCCGTGTACCCTTGCACACACGTGCCTTTGAGAAAGGGGAAATGGGCACTCGGAGAAGAAGGAACAACACATGATCACCAGCCCTGGGGCTGCCCCAAGACCGAGCAGCCTCGTGGCTGGTAAAACACACGCGGTTCCATTGGCCACAAAGCATCTGCCTCGCAAGTTACTACCGGAAAGGGATTTCTAAACAGCAAATGGTAGGGGCGTGGTGGGCCAATGGGATGGCCCCTGGGGGCAAGGGAGACTCCAGTCACTTCTCATCCCATCCCCCCATCGTGCTGTGCCAGACACTGACATCGGCCTGGGTCCCTGCCATCATTATGATTTTTCTCTACCTCCCCCCTGGCTGGCCAGGCCCTCAGTCAGGTGATCTGCCAACACTGGGCCCCCATCCCCACCTGACAACCACTGGCTAGAAGGGGAGCCGAAGATGCCCCTCAGAGAGAGACGGCCCTTTCCGTCCCCACCCCCCGTGCCTGAGTCACACCGGCCTACTTCTCTCTCTCAGGTTCCCTGACAACTCCTGGAAGCTTCTGATTTGCCAAGAGCTGTTCTGGTCACTAATGAATATAACCCACCAACTCCGTCCTCCTATGACAGAGGGCTGCCAGGCACAGATGGACCTTCACTAAGTGGCAGACACCATCATCAAGGCTGGATTCCACCAATCTGTGTGATCGCTAACACCCTTATCAGGTAGGTGCTGCTGCTGTCATTCACATTTCACAAAGAGGGAAACTGAGGCACAGAGCGAATAGCTAACTTGCCTAAAAGAGACATAGCTGGCAATGGTTTTATACTCAATTTATCCATGATTTATACTCAAGCAATGAATAAACAAGTACAATTGGGTGAGATGAGTACCGAGACCTTGGTATGCGCACTGGGCAACTGACCCCCAACTGGGAAGGCCACTAAAGGAAGTGTCATCTAAGTCAGGCCTTGAAGAAGGGCCTTTCACCAGGTAGAAGAGGAGGGGTGCTAGTGACTGAGGGACTAGCACGAGCAAAGGATGGCAGGGGGGATGTCCCTGGAGGCTGCTGCGAGGAAGGGCCTGTGTGCCATATTAGGCATCGGAACTTGATGCCATGCACAGTGGGAGACAGTGGTGTTTTATAGCGAGTATCCACTCACTTTCCATGTGCCCTGTGTGAGAAAGGACTGAAGAATGCCTTCTACCACAAGTAGAAGGAATCGTACTTTACTAGATGGCTGCCTTGTCCACAGCACTTACAGAGCTGCAGCAATGCCGGCATCAGATACTGATTACACAGTAAGTCTGCTGAGAGGAAAGGGGACGACGGGAAAAGTGGGTATGTGGTGGGGGACAGAGGGTGGAAAGAGTCTGAAATCTCACCTTCCATAGTGGGATGGCGGCAGGTAATAAAATGGAAAACTCAACAAGTAGCCACACGAAGTCTACTATTTAGAATCCCAGAGGTAAATAACTACATGAACAGCTAACATGTGTTAGACTCATCTATTAAACTGCCTCTAAGGGAGAAAAAAATGGAGGTAGGGTAGGAGACTAGAATACTAGTGGGGTGACCAGCCAGTGTGGTTCAGTGGTTGAGCACTGACCTATGAACCAGGAGGTCACAGTTTGATTCCCGATCAGGGCACATGCCCAGTTGCAGGCTCAGTCCCCAATATAGGGGGCATACAGGAGGCAGCTGATCAATGATTCTCATCACTGATGTTTCTCTCTTCCTCTAAAATTAAAAAAATATATATATATTTAAAAAATAAAGAATACTAATGGGGGTTTTGTTTGTCTGTCTCTTTTTATTGCGGCAAAACACCACATGGATTTGTAAGCAGATCTGGGTTTTACTAAAGAGTGAACCAGGCTCCTCAGGGGACTCTGGTGGGCGGTTCAGGGTCCACCAGCCTGGTTAAGTGTGTTACCTCCAAAGGGATTGAACCCGAGAGACTTGCTTTGATATCAGCATCTCCCTCTGTCAACAGGCTGTGTTGCCAGGGCCGATGATGTATGACTGGCTGACGTCCAACCACAAACAAGCCTATTCATCCGAGATGTGTGAAAAGCCAAACACAAAGCCAGCCTTCTCCCTGACGAGCTAGAGCGGACCCGGTTTTTCCACTGCTCCACAGAGGATCGGAGCGACTCCGGTGACAATTCTCCACAAACACTGGGTTTGGGGACCCACAGCCAAAACCTTTCCTGCCTGTCTAACCAAACTGCCCTGATTTCCTGGGCCTCCCCTGGTCCAGGAGTAGGCTGGGACCCCGGCCTGGCCAGGTGGTTGTGGATACTCCCAGCCTCAGGGATAGCTGAGGGAGGAACATCAGAACCAATGACCCGTCAGTACCAAGAAGACTTCCCTCTGGGACTTTCCGGAAACGGTGAGAAAGAGGAATTTCTCCCCTGAGAAGGCTTAGTGATTGGAATGAACGCCTGCAGCAGATGGCAACCATCTTGGCACCATGAGGGGAGAGCCTGACAAAGGGGGAAGGGATGGAGGGGGGATGGAGGGAGTGGGAGGTGAGGGGAGTCTCAATGACATCTGAGCTTCTGGACCTAATAATGCTTCCCAGTTTAACCACTTTCCCTGGAGCCAAACTAGCACACACACCCCCAACTGTCACCACTGCTTCATGTTATGTTGAAGCGGATTGGAACTAGCTTTCTGTCACTTGCGATCAAATCAAGTCATTAAAAAAAGGATTGAAAAACAGGCCCTAAGGACGTCCAATTTATATAGACAGGAGGGGAGGGACAATCTACAGCCCGTACTTAAATACAGATAGCTGATGGAGGGCACTGCCCCCGACAATAGACAATAGGGCATGTGTGCAAGGAGCAGAGCCTGGGAATGTGATTCGGCCGAAGACATATAAAACTTTTCTTTAAATCCATCCGAATGCCAGCTGGCCGCACCTGAAGCCAGCTCGTCTCCCCTGAACCTGTGCTTTCTGCCGTATTTCCTAGAAATTTCTGAGAAAAGGTGATTGTGGTCCTTTGTCTCCTACCATTGCTGACAAGTGTGTCTCCCACGATCACAGTGGAGGCTGCTTGCGGGGATGTCCAGGGAGGAGAGAGAGAGCCGTTCTCTCTCTAGGAGGTCGGGAGAACGGGCAGACTGCCCCCATGTAGGAAAACAAGCCACTGACTCTCCTTTTTAGCTCAGCCCTAGAAGGAGCTCTAAAGGGGCCCCCTCTGCTCGGACGAGGCCTCAGATCTTCCAATCTGAAGACGGTGCCATCCATTAGGTGACGCAGGCTGAGGCTAATT